CGTTCCCATGACTCCGATAACGATACCCGATACTCCGCCACCGCCTCCCTTGCGCATGCATAGTATCGTTATCGGGGGTATCGGAACGATCTACTAAAACTTTCTAGTACCTTTTTTGGAATCCTCAGTCTTCTCATTGCACCCACCCTCCTTGAAATTGTAATGCGTGTTCAAGTTTCAAACTGCATCGCTATGCATACTTTTTTTCAGCGGTGTAATAACTTGTTATTACAGAGTTGTAAAATAAAGTGATGTATGATGCAGCCCGTGTCTCCGAGCAAACATACCTTGCTCAGGCTGGATAAATTCTTCCAAAAATGTTGACTTTCTTTGAAATATAAATTATCTTTCTCTTCGTTGTTTTTGCTTTCTTGTCTCAGAGCACAAAAGGGTGCCTGTCTCAATGGCTTTGTCTGCCACTCGAACCCGCTATTTGCCGCCTCAGCGAGCATTGTTTCGTTTCGTTCCCTATCCCGATTCGGATGTGACGATACCGGATACAGTCTGGCAGACAAGCTGCCCGACCTCTAGGAGCTCGGGAAAACTTCTGCTGGTAAATTGCCGGTAGAACGCCTGAGAAGCGCAACCCGAAAAGCTTGCACCCGCCAGCCTTCGACCACGCGAACGCCCTTGCCGAAGATATGGGAAAACTTTTTTCAGGGAAAATGACCACCCGAATTGGCCATTACAAGCAATAACACACGACTAGCACAATGATCCATCCGCTCCACACGACGACATCTTAACGACATACAGCGACTGAAGAAAAATGAAGTACCGAATCTGCGCTAGCACTTTTGAAACCACGTCACCATGTGACAATGTAGCTACGTCAACAGACTCGGGGTGGCACGCAGGCATAAGGAAAATTGTTTCATGTGCTATGCAAGAGATGGTGCCGCTTCGCTTCATCTTCAACCTTCATCCTCAACTGTTTTTCCTTCTTTCTATACCTCACTACGGTGTTCCAATGACAACGGGTTCAAATGAGAAAGGGTCGAAACGCGAAAGGTTAAAACGCGAAGGGCCTTTCCCGAATGGGTTCAGACGAGAAGGGTTCAAATGAGAATGGATTCAAATGAGACGGGTATAAATAAGAAAAGGTCGAAACGCGAAAAATTAAAACGAGAAGGGCGTTTTGCGAATGGGTTCAAACGAGAAGGGTTCAAATAAGAATGGGTTGTTTCGAGATACACCCGGCCTCGAGCCCATCTCTAGCGAAACAGGCGTTTCGTGGTCGCTGGACGATGCTGTATTTATTTATGGTGTTTGTAGTTTTATTCACAACGGGTGGAAGATCAGCTCTTATCAGAAAAGAGCACAACACGAATACCAAAAGAGTTAGAAGGTAACAAGCGATAAAAAACAACCTAACACTGCGTCCCTATAGTTGGATTGTGATTTGATAACCGTGAAACCTCCGAACACTGAAATTTCATAGAAGGCGCAGCGGAGGCTTCTATCGCACCATGCCACCCCGCACCGCCACAAGGAGAAGCGATAGAATAGGATGAAAAAAAAAACAAGCTCTCCAGCGTCTACGTCAAGGAGTCAAGTGATTTTAATATGTATTTTTCAGGTCTTGTCGTTGGGCAGATAGTAATATTAACATAAAAGACTCCACTGTGATATAGTAGACGTGCGTTCTTATAAATCTAGGGGAGGGGTACACCCGACGGTTAACATATATATATATATTTATTTTCAATATCGAACGTTTCGCAGCATCGCAAAACTAAACTCTGTACTTTGGAGGAATACAAACCTTGCAGAAATAAATTTTGACAAAATCTAGGCCAATACCTAAACTACGTAAAACACTTTCGAATTTCAGAGAGAACTAAACTCTTAAAACGCGGAATCCTACATATATAGATTTTCACCCTGTTTTTTGTTTTTTTTTCACCGGACGAACACGATCTGCTATTGTGTTCTGTTTTATAGTCGACACTGGAATCTTACAGCAGTTCAAAGACTAGGTATGTACGTCATGTAGCATTTCATTATCAGCGACCGAACCTCAATATACAATTTAGTCACTGAGAAGGTACGAAGCGCAGGGCTGGGCGAGCCCCAGATACCTTGTTTAACACTCCACAGCAGCCATTAGGATTGCGACGTTATCGGCTAAGAACGTCGTAGAAACGAACCACAAAGCTAGGAGTGTGGTTATAATAAGCTGCCCCTGATAATAGTTTCATGCACTATGGGCTGCGACGTTATCGCACCAAACATCTCCCAATTACCTTCACGCCAAAAGGCCGAGCTTCCACGCTATTGAACATGTCGCGCTTCCGTCGAGTATCCGAATTGTACAGGTCAAATTTATTTAGTTTTCGAACAAACCACGGATTGAAACTTATTCTGAGATACTACAAATGTGGATATCAAAAGAGGCCCAAACCTACTTCAATCGATCAAAAGCGATAAATAAATGTTCAGAGGTTTGTCACGTGAGCCGTCCTATACGACATGCTCTATGAGTGACAAACATGTGAAATAGTTATACAGTCAAAACCGTATTATAGCGAACAGCAGAAAACGCCACGATCAGTTCGATATAGCAAAAACCATTTACAACGAACTTCCACGATGCGATCGTTGTAAGGCGAGACGCTTCTCTTTTTTTCTCTTCTTTTCTCTTCTCTTCGCTCCCGCCTTGTAACAACACTCTGGAAAGTTTTCTTTTCTTGCGTGCGTGAAGAGTTCTTTTCTTTTTTTAGCTGATCTCCGCTTTTGAATCGCTTCTACCAAACTGGAATGCACCGGTGTCGAGGTCCCCCTCCTTCGCTGGCAATCTAACTTCATCTCGCTGAGACAACAAAGTGTGATGTTCAACGGGTCAAGGTCCCAATCTCGAACCGTTCAATCTGGAATCCCCCAAGGCGCAGTGCTTGGTCCTACCCCCTTTTCAATTTTTATCAACGATATCGTCCAGGTTGCAAACCGCGCCGCCAGCAAGTATCCTGATGATTTCACCCTCCTTCAACGGATTCTATCTCAGGAAGACTATAATCAACTGCAACAAGACCTTGATCACATCCAAGCCAGGACCATCAGAAACAAATCACCCCTGAGTGCATCAAAATCCGCTGCAATTCACTTCACCACAAAAAAGAAAGCATATAATCCACCAGTAATTTTAAATATTAATGGAACTCTATTGGAACAAAAGGAGATATTAACCATGCTGGGTGTCACCATTGACAGCAAATTGAGCTTCACTGCACACGTGCACTCCGTCGCCTCACGCGCACGGCAGATGCTGAGATTCGTGCGAAGTATCAGTAAGGGTCTGGGGCCTGCCGTGCTGGCGCACCTGTACACTGCGCTGGTCCTGCCCTTACTAGAGTATTGCTCGCCTGTCTGGTCGCCACAGGGAGCCTCAGCTGAGGCGACACTAGAGACTATCCATCGGCGAGCAGCTTATGGCGTCTACTGCCGAACCTCTCCAAGTCCTCGATTTTTGCCACGTGACATCCCGACATCCCAACTCTCGAGAAAAGCCAAGTGGAGTACATTGTCCCACCGGCGAGATGTAGCCACACTACGGCTGCTGGCTCAGGGTATTGGTCCTGGTATCCCACAGGACAACTACCTTCGTTCTGTGCCCTGGCGCAACGAACGAACCGGGCGCGTAGACCCTCTCTTCGCGCAGACCCAACGGCACGACAACTCCTGTCCCCTTCAAGGTGTGAGACTTCGGAGGTCACTGCCTGACGCCATCACCAGCTTGCCCATCACAGACAGAGACGAGGTGATACAGCTCTGCAAGGCAGCAGAAACGCCTCTAAACTAACACCCTCGAATATCTTGCGTACTTCATCATTCGTCACCCACCTCACTTTTCACCCTCTTCACCATCCCATCGTCATCATCATCCCAGACGTCTCAAGCCAACAAGCCTCGCATCGCAATCATCGTCTAGCTGGCCACATAGGCACATATGTATACGGGCGGAAACGCCTTCTATGTGGGCTGTACTTAAATGTACAAATATCTATCTATCTATCTTCGCTTAATTTTGTTCACAACTTGAGCTTTTGGAATTTTCTTTCTTTCTTACTTTTTTGGGAGGGGGAAAAGGGACATTCTAGAAGACAATTGTTTGCGCGTTTTTGGAAGTTTTCCCGGGGGGAAAATTCAATATAGCCGATATGTTGTTCGTTATAAAAAGTACTCTTTACGCACATTTTTATTTAAACTTTCAGTGAGTTCGATATCGACAACAATTTGCTGTACATGGGTTCGTTCTAAACGGGCTTCACTGTAACTATTTAAAAGCTATTGCTATTTCAAAGCTATTAAAGCAGTCTAAAATATAGCTTTAAAATTGAACCTTTTTTGTAATACTCGAGGAGATCACTACATATTTATTTGCAATGTAAAAAGAAACGAAAAAAATCCAGCGCGGCTAATCTTGGGAGCATTTTCAGCGGCAGTGTTTTTTTTGTTTGTTTTTTTTGTTTTTTTTTTATTGAAGAGATAGGGCTTTAACTTAGATGACCTCGAGCAATTCGTAAAAAAATGATTGCGAACGAAGATATTTATTTGCAAGCACCCCAATACCGCATTAAAAAATGTTTTCAGATATTTTTACATAATTGTCCCCGGCTGTGTTGAACGAGCGTTGCGATCCCAGGTGTAAAGATAACCAGCTCGCATGTTTAATTTTGCTCCATGTACAGGCGGTTTTGAGACGCATATGCCGGTCATGCGAATTAACCATCACTTCGTGAAAAAATCTCTATCCAGTTGCGCACATTTTTATTGTCCTCGCGAACATCCACTCTCTCCTCGTGGTAAGAAAAAATAGTTAATTACTAAATTTAAGCGTGCGCCTCTAGCCACAGGCAAAAGCAAATAGGCAGTGCCATTGCACGACGTCCCGGCATCCTAACACAAGGCCATTTTTTTACATTCAGTCCTCCCACCGCTGGTGGAATAAACTAACCTTTAATTTTTCATTTCATCGTTCGCTGCTCCTTTAACACCTAATGATGGCTAGAACAGAAACTGGCAGTTCCACACTCGAGCCGGAGCTTTACATGGATATTACCGAGGCAGACTGGCTTTCGGCGGCAGCCGTTGAACTGAGTATTTTGCAAGTCTCCCTACCCATCGACTCCGCTGGAGGACAACAGTTCCTGGACTTGGGCTGCGGCACTGGGATCGTGACGCGCGACGTGCTGCTACCCCGTTGCCCGCCATTCAGAAGGATCGTGGCCGTCGACGCTTCCCGGGACATGGTGGAGTACGCCATGAGGCACTTCGCCCACGTCAAGATCTGCTACGACGTCCTGGACATTGTCGCGGATGACGTGTCCGGCTTCGTTGAGAGGTACGGCCAGTTTGACCGCGTCTACTCGCAGTTCTGTCTGAACTGGATCAGAGACCAAGCAAAGGCCCTCAAGAACGTCACCAAGCTGATGAAACCGGGTGGTGTTGCCTTGTTTAGGTTCTACGCATCTACACCGCTCATGCGATTTCGTCGGAAATTGGCTGGGATGGAGCGCTGGAAAAAGTACGCGAAGGTAAGTTCATTCTCGGTTAACCTTTCTCGGTTATGTCGGCGGTTCTTATCACCCTCTTGTTTGTTGCATTTGTTTAAGTCACTAGTTAGATCAAGGTCAAAATTTGGCTCGGTAATCTGGAATTCATGTTCTCTTGGTCAGGCAACTGAAATGAAAAATGTACAAAAGCGGCTGATAATAATTGTGTATGACCGCTATATTGCAAGAGGTCTTTTTATCATTATAAAACGTTACTTCAACGGTTAGCATTATATAAACTTGCCGTCAGGAGGCAGTCCAGAGATTTTATTTTTCTTCATAAAGTTGTTCATGGTCACGTCAGGTCAATGGATTTACTACGATTCATTGACTTCCATGTTCCATCAAGAGCCAGCCGGAATGTATTAACGTTTTATGCATCTTGCTCGTCCCCTGTATCCCCTTTGTCACGGATTCAATTGGCCTTGAAGAAGGAATGGATGTTCACGGATGGATAGACTTTCGCCTAGAATACATTTTTTTTTTTTTTTTGTATTGAGTATTTTAGTTTTCGCGGTATTTGTATTTTAGTATTTTGTGCACCACAGCGGAGACTGACAAGTTGTTTGTGGGCACAGAAAATAAAGAATTATTATTATTATTATTATTATTATTATTATTATTATTATTATTATTATTATTATTATTATTATTATTATTGCCAAAGATCAGCATTGCTCCAGGTAAAGCATAGGAGTCAGTGCTGTCAGCCGAAAATTTTTAGGAAAGGAAGATGCATTTATTTTATTTTATTTAAAAGCGGTTAACGACCGGCTTTGGTGACTGGTTATTGACGTGACGAGATGTCAGATCACGTGACCACGTAGCGTGATATTAGCTTACGCAGCACTGCCACGTCTCCTAACTGCACGACCTGACACCGTGACTTCACCAACCGAATAGGTTTAACACAATGCTGCGCCGCCTTACATCCCTGATCTCGTTAAGCTAAATTTGGATGAAATACGATGGAAATTAAGTCACAAACTGATATCAGATATCTTATAAAAGTAGTGACCAATTTCCAAATATACCTAAAAACGGCAACACAATCCAGCTTCGTCATATTCACTGCGCAGTTACTAGGTAAAAGTCGCACGAATGCCCAGCTGGCTAAAAATGGCGACTATGCTCGAGGAGTGTAAGCTAGATGAGCTGCGTGCTGTTGTGCGTTGTTTGCGGGCAAAAGTGCTTCCTGCAAAAAAAAATAGTCAAGAGCAAAAGTTTCGTGTTTACGATGAGAAGTGTTGGTTGCGTAAAGCGGTGCAAAACTGGGTTGAGAAATTCTTCCAAGGGCGCTCAAATGTTGTTCACGAAGAGCCAACTGGTTGTCGTGTTGTAATTGCGACTTAAACAAAACTCTGGCGGGCACGCACATGCCTGAGACAGCAGCCCCAAACCTTTTACGCAGCAGGTGTTGGGGTCACTGGTAAAGAAATGGGATCATTCTTCTTTGTTAGGATGCCGAATTTTCAAATTAAAAAGCCACACCGCTTTTTTTGTTTTTCTGTAAGCAGAATTTTGCGATCGACTGACTTTCCCTCGCAATACTGCCCCATTCCGTGTTCCCTGCGTTGCCCCAGCCCCTAAAGAGGTGCATTCACCGACAACCTAATTATGCGCATGGCGTAGCCCATTAACATCACGCTTTTGATTTCGTGATTCTGTCGCCGGCATTGTTGCAGACCGATACCCCAATTTCGTTGGCCGAGAAGTGATAATAAGGTGCGCTTGGGACTCTCCGCTCCCGGCGTTTGTTAAGCTACATTGGAGTTACAATAAGAGGCGAAAAGCAAGCGGATGCTCCGATTACTTTGCACATCAAGTGTGTTCACTTCGTTCAACAAATTTGCTAGGCCAATTTTGTTGCATCTGAGAAAAGTTCTAGCATCACAAACGTTTAGCGGTACACTGAGTTTCCAGAAGCCACACGCGTACGTTCATGGCGCTCTTCGTCAGATAGTTTAACGCGTACCATGGATACACTTCTGTAGTTGTTGCTAGAAGGAAGCGACACTACCGCTAATTTGGCTGATGAAATTGGCGATCTTCCAGAGCTTGCTATAATCTCGTGCTCAACTCCCTTAGTACACACAGGTGGTCGAGCTCCTCCTCGCCTACCCCTCTTGTCGCATAACCTCCCATTAACTAATCAGTGCCGAGCACATCACTCCTCCTCTCTCACCCGTCAACTAATCAGTGCCAAGCTTTGCGGCCACGTTTTAGAGCGCAGCACTTAGGCGTCCAGGTCCGGCTTGAGCGGCGTCGCCGTCGCCTTCGGCGTAACCGCGCGTTGCATTATGGGACATTCCCATAATGACGTCACACGTGACGTCACACGGTTCATGAGTGACCTCAGCCATTACGTCACCGCGCGTTGCATTATGGGTAAATTTTTCCGCTAAATTTATCAGAATTTCCTTGCTAAATTTAGCTGAAAAATTTTCCCACTATCTTTAGTGGAAACATTTCCCCGCTAAATTTAGCGGGAAATTTTCCCTCCAAATTTAGCGGGAAATTTAGCGAAAATTTCCCTCTAAATAAGAGGAAAGCAGGAGAGGAGGAGGGGAGGGTACGGATGAGGAGGAGGGGTATACCCTCTTCTCTGTACCCTCCCCTCCTCCTCCTCAAGAGCTGCTCTCTAACTCGGCGTTACACAGAATTGTAAACGACTTTCATTTTTTTTAAATCTGGGCTTCACAAAATCCCGAACACCTAGCCAAAGAACGTTTCACGTAAAAGCCGTGAAAGCTGCACTAATTATGTTTGTTGCTTTGAGTTATACGGTCAGGGGTACATTATATAGGAGGATATAATCGCCACAATCACCATACGGCAAAAAAAAAAAACAGTATAACTTCTTCCTAAGTGAATTATGCAACAGGAAATCCTGGATTTCTTGTTGAAAACCGGAAATCCAGCAGGAAATCCAGTAATATTCTCTGTACCATAATCCGGCAAGTGAAATTTTATCTTTTTTGTTTTCGCTAAGACAGTCGGCTATTTAAATAAAATTTGTTAATTAACATTTTATTTAGTAAAAATCAACATAAGGTTCTAATTAGAAACTTGCCTAGCGTCGTCGAATTCAACTAAATCAGTCAAAATGAGAAAGAGTTGGAGTACGTGAGATGCACGATGGAGCGATAAAGTTACTAGTCTTGCAGGAGGAGCAAGGTTACCGGTGCGATAAGCGGCCCGCGCGATTTGGCCATCTCTTACCATTCGCGTTTTTTCACACCAACCTTCTGGCGGTTGCACGAGAGGTAACTTGACTATCTCCTGCGATCCCCACTCGCTCGGTCCATCTGAAAATAACTGACGCATTGGTTTCTGGTGAATCTTCTAATTGAAATCGTGTTTATTTAAATTAATTAAGAAAAACTTAACAAAATGTACTTTGGGAAGATTGGCGTAGTGGTTATGTCCTCTAGGCCGTACAACTCACCTGCACAAGCGGCATTGCTTTAGCTTTTGAGGCTTTTTATAAAAGAATCAGGTTAAGCTTAAAAAAAATTAAAAAAAAATCCGGGATGTAAACTTTTTAGCTAGATTTTCATTTTTTTTTTCTGTATTGGTCGCATCCTAATCAGGTAGATACAAGAATATGTCACGTGACATTACACGACCAGTGATTGTGTTCATAGAGGGTAAGATAGCTCAGATAGGCAGGAGATCAAAACTGCAAATAACAATGGTTAAAAAAATTAAAGACGTCTACAAATATCTTTAATGCGAAATTAGAGCACAGCTCTTGGAATATTTTGATTTTGCAATATACCGAGCTCACAAATTTCAGGAAGAGAGATCTGTATGTACAAATGTAGAGTTCGTACTGCTACGCAGCCAATATCAAATGTATATATAAATATACTAATTATTTATTATATTGTTATTTATATAAAGAGGAGGAGGGGAGGGCACGGAGCAAGGAGAGAGGAGGGTATGTAGCACGAGGAGGGGAGGCTACAGAGGAGGGGGAGGAGGGGGAGGAGGATATGAAGAGGGAGGAGGGGAGGCTACGGAGGACGCTCCCCTCCTCCTTCTTCCACTTTCTCCTCCTCCTCTTCCGGCTACGCCGCAAAGCCCGGGAACAAGCGCCTGAGAGCTGCGCTCTAAAATAGAGTATGGTGTTCTGTAGCTCAATCCGATTCTCGTCGCCAGTGATAGATACGAGTCATGCCTCCATAACTGTCTTATATTTATGTTCATAAAAATATTAACACATTCATTGCAATATTGCCCGATGGCGATGCGGGTGTCTTCGTAATTAAATCAGAAAAATAGTAGATCACTTCGCTTCATCTTAGGACAGGAGCCGCCGCACGTTTCTCGAATTCCAATCCCAGCATGCTCCAACACAGCTTCAACTCAAAGAGGTACTGGCTTCTCGTAACGAACACCACAGTCACATATTTCGCGGAAAAAAACATTTCATGAAATGAGGTATTTATTTTATGAAATGTCAAAATAATTTTGTCTCAAGAGAGAATATGCGTGTTTCACGTCGTGTGGCGCTATTAAGGAGCCACAATGTTTCTTGTTCACTGACAGAGTTTAAAAAACGTGTCTTCAGTCTCTAATATATTGTATATACATGTAAGTAATTGTTTAAGTAGTTATTGAACGTCCAAGAGCCAATAATACTTTGAAATAAATAAGCTCGATACCTCCTTTGTTTTAAACATAAAAAAATTATGCCACTCATTAAAAAAAGAAAAGTTTGGGAGGTGCTGAAGTCGAACAAACCATTAAGTCAATAAAGCACCGGTTCGGGCAGATAGGCGCTTTTTGTGTGCGGTTGTTTCTCACACGGGCAACAATCAGGAGCGAGAGTCGTAGTCATAAAGGGTCAAAAAACAATGCCTAAAATATAATTAGCACCTTTCGCACTTTTTTATTGATTTTTGTACACGTAAAAAATAAAATAGAATAAAACACAGTTTAATCTATAATCATTGATATATTTACACCTTATTTTA